CTGGGGAGCTAACATGTGGGCAGGCCTACCATTTACAATTACAATTTAGGCATTTAGCTGACGCCCTTACCCAAAGCGACTGACAATAAGAGAAGCGGTAGAGACGGCCATAGTGTCTGTGAATCCTGTGATCCTCAGCAGCCTGGTAAACACACAATGTGTAGAAAATTTAGAACAGGTGCAGTGCCAAACAAGTGAAAGGAGCACAGAGACAACAACGAGACAACAGGACAATACGAAAGTATGTATCAACATGTCCCATGAATAGAGGAAGCAAAGTGATACTGCATTTAAACACTGTTAATACAGCTGCTTTATTTTAATAACAAATGAACTGATCTTATAAAAACCTCGCCAGGCTAAAGCAAACTAATAGCTCCAATTAACAGCACGGGTTGTCCTGTGTTCTTGTTTGCATAATGATATCATAAAAAGTGACTTCCATTTATTTTTTTCAGCTGTAAATGATTCCTGACAAATAATTTTAAATGTTTACAGAAGTGTGGGCCTCCTACTGCACCTGTTTGTGATGTTGTGATATACACTATATACTGATTTTATTCATGTTTTATATACAGAGTATTAGTGGTATATACGTTAATAGTAAAACATACTAATCAGATTTCACAGAATAATATTGGTCCAAGAAATAACATCAGTCCGATGCTGGCCAAAATACACCAACCTTTTCTCTCAAGCTAGCAATTAGAAAATAATGACACTCACGCTGAAGGTTATGTCAAGGTCAAGCTGCATTAACACTAAGCACTCACTATAATCTGCACATCATTTTGAGTCCATCTTTAAACATCAAGAACACAACCAGAGGAAACGTCATTCTTAATACGAAGCATGTGCTGTTGCTAATATTCTGCGCTAATGTGTGACAGTAGAAACTTACAGATTTTTCCACCAACTGTATCACTCAATTCACTCTCCGCCACTCTACTATATAGTATTCACGCTAAACTGTGTGAAAACAAACAGATCAGATGCCATAAAAACTGTTCTAAATAGAAAAGTGGTGATCCGTGTTTATCTATTTTAATTTTCATGTGTTTAATTCTGTTGTGTCAAAGACTGCCGGTCATACAGTAAATGTACGCTAGCAAAGAGTGATGCAGTCTCTCAGCACAAGAATGCAAATATGAGACACCTAACATGCTGTAACAGCTCCACTAAAACTCGACTGCATCACACACAGAAATCACTGCCTGCAAAATAATCACTTACATGTGATGAAGAACATCTTTTCATCACCAACAAATTCATAAAGACATTCATGTACAAACCCTGCAGAGTGATAGAAAACTACTGAAAAAACAGATTAACTGACTAAATGTCAATTCATTAATACTTACATTATAACCGCAAACAATTTTCTAGGTAAAATGAGTCATAATTTTTTTTCTCTTTCTTTTTTCCTGCAGAAATGTCAACAGTTTGATTTCACACGTTGCCTGGCAGAAAAAACACCCTGTTAAAAAAAATGTTCTTAGCCGAACTTGAATCCGTCAATGATTGGCCAGAGGAAGTTTGTGTCTCCTCCCTTCTTCATATAGCTGAGAAACCTGTTGTTTTGTTTGTGTGCAAGTTTCCATTAAGCTGAGACTTGAAGCATGAAATGAATGATAGATAGATAGAAGAAGCACTCTGACCCATGGCGTATTAAAATGGTAATGTATCACTTCAGCAATATGCTGTCTACATCTAATATCAGCTGCCATCACAGCGCTACACACATGTATTAATTAAGGAGTTAAGAGTGTAAAAAATAAAACCATACTGTTACATCGTTGGGAGAAGATCTCATAAGCATTATAATTACTTTGGGATTTATTTAAAACCCTCATATCGAACAAACTATCACCAAGCACTGCTCTAAAAATTTAAATATCAGCCAATGATTATGCAATGCACTCATCAAAGTGATGTTTTCAAATTCATCAAGGTAGTAGTGATGATTCCTCAAAGATAGTTTTGTTATTTAAAATGTACTTACAGCTAATTTAATTGCAGATTTTATTTTTTACACTTGTTATTAACATAAAATAATAATGCAATGAGAAAATCACAACTTGAAATTAGAGACTGGTTTTAGATGTATTTCTTTAGTCTCCAAAAAACATCTTACAGTTAATATAAACACAAGATCTTTTTTCTTGTAAGTAGACAACATTTCTAAGAACAGGAGAGCACAGAAAACATCAGAACAGAGCAGAACAAAACCAAACAGAGTAGGTACTCACTCATATAGACGCAGGAATAGCCCCCAAAACACATCACTAAAATGCAGAAATCTGTCTACTATCCTGTCAGGGTGCAAGCTAGTTGCCTTGGCCCTGGCTGGGCGTTATTTGTGAGCCAAATCCTTAAAGAACAAGAAGCTTTCTCTGTGCCTAAACCTGCCGACAGACAGGGGGCTTTGAAGGCCCCCAACCGAGCTCTGCACAGAGCTTTGAAGCCAACTGAAAACTCTGCTTTATGGGACTAAATGAAAGCGAGGAAGAAGGGAAAGTTATAAAAAAGCAAAGAAACACTGTTGCTGTTCTCGCTCTGCCGGTGCATGCTTCTGAGTTTGTGTGTAGTTTGATGATTAATTGAAGGCTGTTTGTAATTTTTGCAAATATTATGTGAGGGCTTTGATACAATGTCAGCACGTACACTGTGACACTGCAGTTTGTTGGGTCTGTGTTATTGCATATTTACTTTTGAATCTTAGACACAATTCATTGTCACCATGTTCCAGTTACTAGTTAAGAGTATCAATTAATAACATTATGTCCTATTAAATCATGTTAGCTCTACTGTTTCAACTAATAATTTGTTAACATGTTTTATGTAAAACATAATAAGAAGAAAACCCTGGCTGCTATTTTTCTTTACATTTTTTTATGATGATCAAGGGTGAAAAATGTGCGCGTTATGAATTATGTCTTTTCTCGCTTACTGACAACTGTGATAGACTGTGTATAATTTGTATAATTTTATCATGATCTACATGGCTGATATTTGCGTGCGTCACAATCTGTAGACAGGCCGATGAGGGAAGTAAAAGATCGTGGGAAAATGCTGTTGTGTATAATGTGAGAGCCGTGTGTCTATTTCTGTTATTTATGGTGTATTTGGGAAAATTCTATCACTCTAACATGACATGGGAGTATGAGCTGCACTGAAACTCTTTCCGCTGCCCCAACAAATGTTAAACGTGGATTTTGCCTTTTTTTTTTTTTTTTTTTTTGATATTTTTTGGGCCATTTTGCCTTTAATGGACAGGACAGGTAAGTGTGAAGAGGGGAAAGTGAGAGGGGATGACATGCAGCAAAGGGCCACAGGCTGGATTCGAACCCGGGCCGCTGCAGCAACAGCCTTGTACATGGGGTGCCTGCTCTACCACTAAAACACCGACACCCCGGATTTTGCCTTTTTAATAAAGAAAATGTTGGCTCCTGATTTCTGGACTCAGAGGGCCACGTTCTTTTCTACATAAGGCCTCTATCATTTGCTACTGAGAACGTTAACAGTAGAAATAGGATTATGAAATAGGTCATTTTGATTTCTTTATTCACATATTGTTCATTTATCTATTTCTAGATAAATCTCCAGTGTGGTGGTGTAGTATAATGTAGTACTTATATTATTTTGCACAAGTCTTGTACATATCTTAATTGGCTATAGAGAATGCCACTAACAGGACTTCTGTTTTTACGATCATAAATATATAATGTATGGGTCTGTTTTTTAATCACAGCATGTTGGAAGTTTTAGCTTTTTGGTCTTTTTTTCACTTTTATTCAATGAGTTTTTTTGCAGCACTTTTGCACAATATATCTTTACATTTATCAATGTCAAACATAAAGCTAGAATGCCATAGTTTGAAAGGTGCTGCCTTTAATAGAAAACTGAATGGTTTCATGGTAATAAAGGTGTGTGTGAGTAAACAGTGGCTTTGTTAGGTGAATGGGTCAGTTCTGTTTATCAGTTCTGTCACCTTGATATCTGAACTTCAGCTCTGAAAAACAACTCTGCTGCCAAGAACCGTCCATGAAACATCATTGCCATGGTGCTTTTTATGTCACTCCAGCCTAATTAATTAACAGAAACACAGACAACATCTGACTAAACTGAAGCCTGCGCTCTTTCAGGGTGTTGCAGCTGATGTGTCGAACTCACATCTGCAATCAGATCACCAGCTCTGGACTCTCAGAGAAGCATTAATCACTTTCTCCTTCTCTCTTTCTCTCTCTCTCCTTTCAATAAGTCCTTTAGAGGCACACAAACCATCTCCAGCAGACAAAACAGTGGACAAGCCTCTGTGATGTCCTGACTCATTCTGCTCCTCTCCTCTCCAAAGCCTTGGGGCCGACGCAATGGGACCCAAAACCAACACGCACATAATGGGGCCTTGTTGGAGCCGCCTTAATGTTTCTAATGTTATGTAAATGAGGAGGGAAGAGGGCAGGAAAGGAGAAGAGAGGAGCAGAGCGGAGGAGGAGGCAGTGGGAGTGTTTGTGTGTCCGAGGAGGCTGCTAAGCTCCCATTACCAGGGGATTAGGCAAATGCTGCCGTTGTATCGATGCTGGTTCGACAGCGAACCGCCAACCCTAATCCCCTCCTCTCTTCTCCTTCCGACAACGCCTCATCAACGCCTCCTTTAACGCCTCCTCTCCTCCTCTTTATATAGTACCCCCCGCCACAATCATTTGTTAAAAATCTTCACAGAACTTTCTGGATTCAACTTTTCAACTCTCTCCTCTTGTTTCTCCGTCATGCATATACACTATATCTCACACAAGCTAAAAACACAAATACTACTAGAATTACTTGGTTTACAGCCAGTGTAAATTTGTCTGTTCATTGATTTCTCTGACATGTGATGTGTGTCTGTGTGTGTGTTTGTGAATGTGTGAGAAGTGATCAATATTGAAAGCCAGAGAGTGCCTTTCTGGTTTGTCTGTGATGTGTGTTGCCTGGAGCCTCCAAGTACAGCTATGACCTACTGGCTTCTGAACACATCAACTCTTCAGTTCACTGCTCCTCAGACTCCGGGCAGGGGACGAGTGCTGGTCTCTGGATGCTGCTCATCTGTCCCTGGGCACACTGGTGGCTCCTTTAAAGGGATTCTTGAGACATCTTTCTGCTTTATCTTTCCTGCAGTGAGACAGTGCATGAAGATGGGAGAAAGAGAGGGAGAGAGCACATTATGTTCTATTTGCAGGGGAGCAGTCTCCTTTAAACTTTCTGTGCTGTCTCTCTTGTCTTACGTGTTTCTCTGGACTTTATAATTACATTTAACAATGCAAAAAAAATTGCATAAAATCCCTGTTATTTTTTAACATAAGAAGGATCAAAATGTCCGTCAATCTATGTTCATGTTTTAAGACATGCAATGCAAATAAATACATTGCTACGTGTTTAATATCTGACGTATGTATCTAAGACACTAAACCAACAAATAAAGAACAGATTAATCTCTGCACGTATTATCACTAACTAACTCAAGCTGAGGCTGAAGAATGTCATCAAGAAGTGTGGAAGCTATTCTGAGACAAACTAGCTGTGTGATGTTTTGTGTGTGCGTGCGTGCATGCGTGCGTGCGTGCGTGTGTGTGTGTGTGTGCGTGCGTGTGAGTGCGTGTGCATGTGTGTTTGTGTGCATGGTGACACAGTTGCAGGCAGAACTTGGAATACTCAATTATCACATTAGCACATCCAGGGAGAAGCCGAAAGGCTACACACACACGCCTGTGCACACACACACACTCACACATGCACGTATACACACATTCACACACCCACACACACTCACACACATACACACCACCCCCACATATCTCTGGAACTGCAGGCCCCCTGCTGAGAAGCTCAAACACACCAACTGATGGTGGGGGCTGGTGGTGGTGGTGGTGGTGGTGTTGTGGGCTGGAGGAAGAGGGGAGGGCTGTTGGGTTGTGGAGAAGCATGAGGCTGGTGAGTGACATTGAGACCAAGGTTAAACACAAACCACCCATTCTGTTCTGTTGCAGGCCATGTTTAGACCGGCAGCAGCCCTGCATCACAGATCGCAGCCTCCTCCGTCATTGCTGTAGCACAGCGAAGTTGATACTGCTCAGTGCTTCGACAATATAGTTGATATCACTTCAGCCTTTGAGGCGTCGCAATGCAACATCTTCCAGCAACACATTTTGTTAGCCAATTAAAATACGAGCATGTGACCATTCCAGGTAGATTACGCTGTAGTGTGTAGCTTGTAGCGTTGTGCTAATTCCACTGTTTACCCTGCAAACAGGCAACTTTCCAAGCCAGAAGCTTTAGATTGTAGTAAGCACAAACGCAGCCTGCTCAGGCTGGCAGTACACTCAAAACAACAAATCAAAACATCAAACTCAAATTTGGCATACAAGTAAAATGGCAGGGTTTTAGCTATAAGGAAGCACTGACAAAGTGTGCAAAGGCTCGTCAGTCAAACCTGATGAAACTTTTGCACGGTCTGGTTCAACATCCTCCAATACATCACCTGCAATTACTAACAATGTTATATGGCTTGTAGGACTGCATGGTTATATTTTAAAGCCATACTTATTTCTACAGATAAATTATTCTTCTATGTTAAATTAAAACGTTGGTATTTTTCAACCTGGACCCTGTTTTTCCATGTTTTTGTCTAAAGCTCTTTTTATACTGCCTCTTCAAGGTGGGAATTTCAAGCCGTTAAGCCGCCCTGTGGCTCTGTATAAATGGTACAATGGATGGACTGGACAGAGTTGTCTCACTTTTAAGCCTACACTGGATGTAGTAAGAGCGCCGAAACAATGGCTACATAAAGGGACAGCCAGCAGGACAGGATCATAGGAAGCGCGAGTAAGGTGTTGCAACCAACCACAGAAGATTTAAAAAGTAGCTAATAGCAGTTAGCAGCTAACTCAAAGAAGAAGAAGAACAGTGAACAAAAATGTCTGCAAATTGGGAAAACAATGAGGTCCAGGAGCACCCGCCATACCACAGAGAAGATAAAGAATATATATATATTATTATATGTCACACTAGAGGCTGATGCTATTGTGTTACAAGTCTTGTCCATCACGCCTCTTTTGCTTCTGCATGCTGTCTAAAATCACACGATGGAGCAGCATGATTCCACTGTTGTTTAGTTCTGAGTAAAAATGCAGAGGTGACATGAAGAGGTGTGTGAAAAGGACTTAAGTGACTAATGGAAACAACAGTTTTTTTTAAAATTGGTCCAATATTGATTTAGAGCGCTGCAGCAATGAAATACTTGGGGCAATATAGCACACTGCCAATGAATGTTCACAAAAAGTGCTTGTTTTTGCCACTGACAGGATCAGATTGTTATTTTATAAAAGAAGACAAAACATATTTACTTTCCCTTTCCCTTGATCTAGTCTGTTTGTTATTGTGTCTAACCAAGCCCAAGTCTCACTAAAGTTGAAGTCTCATTCTGAGACTTCAAGACGAGTTGTCGCAGGAAGACAATAACAAATACACGAATCAAGCAAACAATGAAGAAAAACATTTTATTTCTCTGTAGGGATCCTTTCCATAATGTTGTCAAATACTTTCAATAACAATCTGAGCCTGTCACTTAGTCACTTAGGCACAAAAACATGCAAAAATAAGGCCGAGGTTAGAAAATACCAAAGTTTCCCATTAAAGTGCTGTGGTCCACACATTTAGTAGCTCTGCAGGTATGTAGGCTCTGGCCATAGCTGACATACAAGTCCTGAAAAATGACTAGTGCCTAGCTTGTGGGGCTTATGTGGAAACTGCTGAGTAGTAATCAATCTGTTTAGGACTGCTTTTCTCCAACAATTTACTAGTGTCAAAAGAGTTTGTCAATTCTGAAGACCAATTACTGCATGTTTAGTAATGTTATGAAAATGAGTTTTTTTTTAATGATCTTGCAGAGTCACAGCTTCTGGCCAACTGTTGTTCTCTATCACAAATGCACAGCATAATGAATGCACAGCACTGCCTGCTGATACATAACACATCAATCTATTGCAGAGGTGGTAGGACAATGAAGAGGTTAAATTCTATACTGAACTATGCATAAATGCATTAGCTGTAAGAAATCACCACATCAGACTAACAAATATTATCTGACCACACACCCACTCAAGCAGAACTACTGATATGATTAACAAATACAGTTCAAACAGGAGTCTAAGTCCAAGTATGATTAAGTTAGCAGAGTAGGAGTCAGTAGGAAACATGCATGGCCCCAAACTGCAGAACAAAAAGTGTATACAAGGATCACAAAAGACATAATCTACTCCTTTTAGATCCAACACTGATTATCCATTACTATTTGAGATCTTGTTCTCCACAATGTCTGCAGTCAGAAGTTTAATTTCTTTTTGGGAAGTGTGTGGTCTATTACATGCTACTGCAATACCACAATCATGGCAATCAGTTCTGAGTGAGTGTGGAAATGATAGTTGATAAAATATCTCGACAACCACAGTCAGGCTTACTGATGCTGTTTGAGTGTTCAGGAACTGCTAGAAATGGTTTTGTTATTGTAATTCACAAAAGGTACACCAGTTTAAATAAATGACAGGGACAGATGACTGTATTAAGCGCTAGAAACACAAGATTGACATGTTGAACTGCTGTTCAGAGATTATTAAAAGCTTCTTTAGTGCCTGAAAAAATCCAATAAATAAAGAACAATTTTCTACATAGACAGCATAATTAAACAGATGTCCTTTCTACCTAAAGGTCAGGATTTATTATACACCTCAGTCTGGAAAATGTTCTTATTTAGAAACAGTTTGGTTTTCTGTCTTTTTCCCACAGGAGAGTAGGACTGAGAGACAAGTCAGAATCCAAAAATATCTCAAGCAAAATTGGGTTTTTTTTTTTGTTGTAATTACTGCAGCCCACCGTGTTGCTGAAGTGAGACCGTATGTTCTAACAGAGGAGCCCTGCCTTTCAATTAGTTTTCCATACAAGAGAGAAAACCCAGAAAAACAAATGTTAACTCCTTCGTGAAGCACCTGTTCTTAAGGAAACACTGAGGAAAATGGGAGGGGAGCAATAATGGTCGTTATTCTGAATAGATAGAAACACCTAGACAATGCAGCAGTAGTTATAGCACTAATAAACAGATAATAGACACAAAGCAATTTACAGTGTGTATCCATGAGCACGAGTTTCTTTGTGTCAGAACAGTGCATCTCTTCCATTGCACTTTCCAGTTAATTAGTGATTTGTTATCAAAAATGAATCTTAATTCAAAATTCATATACTCCCCATATTACAAGCTTTATTGCTGAGATTTCTGAAAACCCTGTATACAGATTTCAGACTACGCAGAGGTCTGAATTCACAGCTTACAAAGTATTGACAGCTTCTCCTTTCTGTTTCTACGGCTGTAGAAGTGATGGTGAATTAAAGCTCAGTGTCAGCTTGGCTCGCTGTCAGCTGATACGCTGTAAGAGGTGTGTCTATTTTAAGTCTAGTGGTTGGCCTATCAGAGAGACCCATTACTATCTTGAAAGAAGGTGTTTTGTGTATGTGTGTGCATGCATGTGTGTTTGTGTGTGTGCTTTGCCGTGTGTGTGTGACTTGAGTGTGTCTCAGCTGAGGTGTTGGTATGATACTTTGACTCCACTGGTATGTTGTATAAAAAGAGAGGGAGAGGAAGAGGAGAAACTGAACAGTGATGGGTACAAACAGACATAAACCTAATGAGCAGACAGAGAGGCATGTTGAGAGGGTAATGAGCACCCCGGAGTGTGAGATATGTGTGAGTAATGAGAACGTCATGATACGTCTGGGCCTTATCAGACACGTTGTGTGAACATTATAAATTCAGAATATGGCCCTGTCATTCTTTAATTGCCTCACTGATTGTCATCGTGATTTTAGTTCAATGTGTGTGTTTTCACAAACTGTGTCTTTTCACAAACTATGTCTTTTACTGTTTATATCAGACATAGTGTTTCCTGGAGAAATATTCATCCTGTGCAATTTTTTTTGCCATAATAACCATTCTGCTGGTGCCTGGGAACAAACCCTGGTTATGATGCCAGTGGCCGCAATGTTACTAATTTTGTTGCCGTTTGATGTGGGAATTAGGCTGAAACAATTAATTCCAACCAATCAATTAGTC